CAGTTAGGCACCCATCAGGCTGGCAGGGGAGTGTTTAGGGGGTGATCAGGCTGGCAGGCAGAAGTGGTTAGGGGCAATCAGGCAGGCGAGCAGTTGGGAGCCAGCAGTCCTGGATTGTGAGAGGGATGCCCGACTGCCCGTTTAGGCCCGATCCCCTGTGGGGATTCTAAATTCTATTGATTTAGTCCCACAGGGATCGGGCCTAAATGGGTAGTCGGACATGCCTTGAGGGGTCCCAGATTGGAGAGGGTGCAGGCTGGGCTGAGGGACACCCCCCCACCCGTGCACGAATTTCATGCACCGGGCCTCTAGTTTAAAATAAGCTGTAATGGGATACCAAAACATTTAGGAACAACTAAAGGATGGGAAATGGAAGATATTGCTCTCATACAGGATTTCTTGTGGTGTATGTATGATCACCTTGTTTAAGGGGGTGGTGAGGAACTGAGAGAGGCATTAAAGCTTCTAATTCCAAACTTGCAAAGAAATAATGAGCAAAGAATTTATTAAAAGCTTTTCTAAATAATGGAACTCAATAAGAAGAGTTAAGCTGCTGTTCTGTAATAATTACTTATGCCATTCCTATAAATATGAAGACAGAAATCAGTGATTTTGATGATCTTCACTGTTTACTATTTAGCTTCATACAGAAAATATGGAAATGTGTAATTTAACATTTTATATGAAGAAACCATAAAAATCAAATAAGAAAAATGCTAAAATACACAAGATTATGAAAATAGCCAGGAGTACTAATGAAGCTTCTGCAAAAGACAATTATTCTTTTTACCAATCAAAAATCAATCTAGTAACTTAGAAGTTAAAAGATATTTAATGGAGTTCATCTACCTTCAACGTAGCTCACTTACCTGGATTTGGCTTGGGTCTTACATTTTCAGCCTCATCTCCATTAATGGTTACTGTCACGATGTGTGTGGTACAGTTTGACAAACCTGGATCCATACATGTAGCTATGGAGAGAAGCAGCAGGTATTCTTTACAGACACCAGTCAGATGTCATGTTTCATGACTTAAATGTCTTCGGAAGAAGACTGGTCTCATAATTCCTTTAACAGAGAATCGATGCAGGAAAACTAGTTTATTCTGGTCAGTATATGCTGTAGGACTGTAGAGCATACAAGTAGTCAGTACTCACATTTTCCCCCGAGTTCCTGAGTAACATTTGGTAAGTCTGAGGGGTTAGATGGTACTACTAACATGTTGTAAATCCTTTTAATACATGAAGAAAAAAACCTCTAAAGGAGCATAGCATGTGCATAAGGTGTGTATATAATAAAGCTCAGATGTGAGGAACTCTGGAAGGCAACACAATTTCCTAATTCTTCTCCAGTTTCAGGGCCTTCCTGTTCAAACTTCCTCTCCTTTGGAGGAGACAGGAAGTTTATGTGCCCAAATCTAATTAGGATTTCTCTTCAGTGAATTAGGTGAAATAAAAGTTATCTGAATTCTGCCCATAAAGAACACACAAAGAATCAATCCTTTTATATACAGAAGAATCTACTGCTTGGCTAACAGTTTGTCCCCAGTGCACCCCTGGAAAGCAATACAAACCTGGAGAACATTCAGCAACATCACCTTTATAGCCAGTTTCTTCTTCCAGCTCTCGCAGAGCAGCTGCTTCTGGGCTTTCATTATCATCTATGAGACCTGGAAGTCCAAATCATTTGTGAGGTGGGAGACGGAAGTCCACTTTTCTTTGAGCCTCTCCTAACACAGCTGCTGCTGAGCTACGTGAGAAGAATCAGAGGATTGTGAAAAGTGGTCTTACAGATAAAGCTGAGGTTTGGAACTATTATAGGAAAAAAAACCCTAGGCAGATTAAGTTGGTTCTGACAGTCCTCATCTATTCTCTTACTTAGACCAAGCATCTCAGCACTATGTTCTCTACAGCAGAGGCAGCATCGATCTGTGAGGACAAGTGGCTTGGTGGTGCTGACTGGTCCAGGTTTTGGACCTAGCTATGTGACTACAGCACAGGAAGCCTGTTAACTTTGTTTCCTCTTATGTAAGATGGGGACAGTTGTTACCTATCCCACCTTCTCCCTCACAGAACAATATGGAGACCCTGTAGTGAAATTCCAAGATGAAGATCACTTCTGAGGGAGAAGGACAGAAAGGACAGAACTAAAGGATGGTGGACTTTAGGTAACTACTATGGTCATTGTGAGAAGTGGAGAGAAATCAAATGGGAGGAGGACAGTAGCAAATCTGAGTCATTTTCCTGAAAGGAATAAAAATTGTAAAAAGAAAGGTGAAATATAGGCTATTTTATTAGTTTCCTTAGTGAAATGGCAAGTAAATGAGAAAGAAAATAAAGTTGTTAATTATACATTACAGAATGCGATGGTGTTTAAAAATATAAAACTTAAACCACTAATGGTAAATGCGATCTAATCTCTTCTGATGGAACAAACCAATTAAATCCTATAATAATACAGTGCATACGTTCTAGATAGCTTAACTTACTGTACAACTGAAAAAATATTTTAGTGGAAATTAAAACAATTTATTTGTCCTACATACATGCAGGAAGGTCAAGATATCTTTTCCATTCATAGTTTTTGGAATTTGGCCTAGTTATTACTATAAATTTCTTGTCAGAGGCAGATTGCCAGTGATAGAAGATGAAGTAAATTGACAAATTAGTGAAAAGCAATTACTCAAAGAGGCTAGAAAGAATGAGGGAAAGGAGGGCAGGTGGCTGGGAAAGGGGAGCTGTGACACCACCTTTCTATCACCTTATGGGTTATTGGCCCAGGAGAGTGTGGCTGGAGGTACTTCACTACAGAAAAGGTTTTATTGAACTTAGAAGCCCAGGGACAGATACAAAGGTGTTAAATGTCTAAACGCTGCAGTACTCAGGCTCTGCCCTGGCTCTGTCCGACAAGTCCCTAGAAGCAGTGTGTAGTGACTCACCTGCAGGGAATTCCAGGCAGTAGCTTCCCATGGGTGGACGGAACTGTTTCACCAGAATGATACATTCATAATGCAGAGTTCTTTGCAGTACTGGGATAATCATCACACCTGTCACCAGGAAATAAAACGAAGTCTCTAATGAAAGGTCAGTCATGCTAGCAATCTGTTTACAGCAATCTAACTAAAACCCCATATTTTAAGAGATGCTGCAGCTGAAATCTACCTTATTTTCGCCACTAGCAATAGGAGTTAAAAGCTACAGTACTGGCAGTGAACTTGGAAGTTATTCTCACTTAGAAATGTAATTATAGAGTCTCCCTGGCTGGTGTGCTAAGTGGTTAGAGCACTGGCCCATCCATTGAAGAGTCACAGGTTTGATCCCTGGTCAGGGCAGATACGCAGGTTGTGGGTTCAAGCTGCGGTTAGGGCAGGTGTGTGAGGCAATTGATCAAGTTTCTCACTCACATTGATATTTCTCTCTCCTTTTCCCTTCCTCTCTCTCGATTCAATGAAAAAACATATCCTTGGGTGAGGATTTTAAAAAATGTAATTAAAGAATAAGCAATCACACTTCCATGTTGTTTATAAATCAAGTGAGTTACTTGGCCTTACAACAAAAACAAAACCCCACTGGGTTCTAGAAAACACAAACTGCCCAGGAGAAGTACCCCTGCCCGCCAATACTTCCCCAGCTGGGAAAAACAGCATTATGCAATTACTCTGTTTGCTTTCAATAAAAAACAGAACAGAAGGGAAAAATAAGAAAGACGTATTCTCCAACTTCCCCTAGACCAGAGGTGAATTTCAGGATTGTTTCTGGGACCTTTGCAGTCAAACCATTCACTCTTGGGAGGGTAGGTAAACTGAATGAATAGTTGTTTCTTAATCCCATTTCCTTATCCTATATAATAAAAACCTAATATGCTAAGTGTCCGGTCAGCTGTTCAACCAATCAAAGCATAATATGCTAATAATATGCTAAGGCTGCTCAACCGCTCGCTATGACGTGCACTGACCACCAGGGGGCAGACAGTTGACCGGTCGACCAGTTGCTATGATGTGCACTGACCACCAGTGGGCAGACAGTCAACCAGTTCCTATGACGTGCACTGACCAACAGGGGGCAGATGCTCCGACCGGTAGGTTAGCTTGCTGCTGGAGTCCGGCCAATCGGGACTGAGCAAGATAGGCCACACATGCCCTGGAGCCCTCCAGCGGTCCCGCCCTGGCTGGCCAACCTCCCGTGTCCCTCTCCAGCCTCTATTGTGCACCAGTGGGGGTCCCTTGGCCTGGCCTGCATCCTCTTGCAATCTGGGACTCCTCGGGGGATGTCGGAAGCTGGTTTTGGCCCGATCTTGCAGGCCAGGCCAAGGGAACCCCACTGGTGCACGAATTCGTGCACCGGGCCTCTAGTCAACTATAAACCACATGGCTAAAAATGAGAAGTAGTGCAAATAAGTTTTCCAAACTAAAGCCTCTCACCTAGATCCTTTGAACAGAATACAAAGGATTTCTATGAGTCGTATCATGTCTAGACACAGTATGTTGCTTTAAATTCTATTGATTTGTGTCTGGCTATAAATATTAGTTTACATCTTTCCCTCAAAAACACTGTTTGGAGCTTAGATAACAGGAGCCAGAAGTTATTTATAAAGAAAGCTCGACTTAGTTACACAGCATTGCAAAAACAAATATTAGATTTAAAGATAAAAGATCATAATTGAAGGTAACTCTGCCCTGAGATCTTGGTGACAGTAAAAAAGACCCAAACCAAAACAAAACACAATCCTCCTGCACCTCGCCTACTACAATAATGTGTGGTAACTTCTCTTAGGAAGAGTTATAATAGGTTTGCACTCATACCATCAGCCGACTGTCCTTTCCTGGTTGCACGTTTCACAGTTTCCCAAGTTCTGTTTAGGCAAAGAAGAAAAAAACAAAATCATCAGTGCCAAAGAGGAGAATACTCTTAGGTTTTTGTGTGTACAGCAAGAATTTTACAAATGCAGAGCATGCAAATGTACAAATGGTCAACAAGACCAAGCAGTAAAGATCTGTATTTCTTTAAAAAGCCAGTTGTGCTGTCTTACAGCTTTTGAGAAGGACCAAAGAAAACCTGCCACTGAACATTTAGCTCTCTGGGTGCTGTCACTTGAGCTGCCTTTCAAGTCAATACTCAAAAAACTTTAGTTTGGATCATAAATCTACAGGGGATCAGCACAGTGGGTGACAATGGCTTTCGAAGCTGTTAAGCAGTGTGTGTGTGCACAATAAGCCCCTATGAAAAAAGGATACGCTGCATAATGAGAACTACTGAGTTGGATATTTATACAATTTAGATTTTAAAATCTGTGACCTAAATACACAATTTAAGAAAGCAAGACCTTTCCATTTATTAACTGAGGAATCCTTAAATTTAGGAGAGTGCTCTATTATATGTGTGTGACATCTTATCTCAGAGGAAAATGCCCCTAGAGGAGAATGAGGTAACAGCAGGTTCTTGCTCCTGTTTAAGGCTTTATTCCTAATTAGCTATGTGTTTCAGGAGAACACTGTACTGAAAATCCAGTTATTGGAACAATCATGTTGTTTACAGGGGGAAGGGCATATGAGAGAAATTCTCCCTTCGCTCTCATTCCTTAAATAAGAAAAAGCAGTGGTAAGAGATGGGAGTGAAGAAGGACATGATTTTGGATCTAAGAGAAGACACCTGAGTGGCTCTGGGAATTGGGATAAGAAAGGCATCAACGACGTCTCACTACAGTAACAGTGAGTATAAGTTTTGTTACTTGGAGCAAGCCGAGCAAGCCTCATACTTTGTGTCTGGTTTGAGGTTTGGATCATGCCACGCTTATATTTTGAAAAAAATTCAGATATTTAATCTAGTTAAAAAAACACACAACTTTCTGTAAACTAGATCTTTCAGTATTGTATCCAAATTTTACAGGGCAAATATGTTAAAATGAACCTATGAAAATCAAAGACGACTATGACAACTCACAGCTGTCCAACATTCCTGTTAGTAACAAGAAGCCAACCAACAAGCAAGTCTGATGTCAGTAATACAGATTGCAAGAGTCATAACACCTTTTGGTATAGCTCTCTTTGCTGCCTCTTAAGATTAGTCCTAAGGACTGAAGAAGACAGTGCTGGGAAAAGCACTGAAGGTCCCATCCCAAATACACTAGGAATAAGGGAAAAAGAGTAACATCATTATAATGGTTAAGATGAGATAAATAAGCAGTAATAAGCCATCAATTATAAGCAATAAAATATAAGTGCATTTATAACAAACAATAGAACAAGAATGCCCCATGAGGGCTCTAATTATCTTAAAGGGACTCTGAGATATGTACATTGGGTTGAGTAAGAAAATCTTGTCTCTAATTACCTACTAGCTAACCCATAGCCACAACCTCCTTGAGAGTTTTCTCATTTGTAAAGCTAGGGAATTAAGAGCATGTTACCTCGTAAACCTCTTGTAGCTTTAGAGTCTAATTAAAGTTACTCTATTTTTTAGCTTCTGTTATAGGAAAGCCCATTTTGTTTTATTCTCTCTAGTCAACCAACATTAAGAGGATGACTTCAATTCTGTCCTGAATGCCAACAAAAGGGCATAATGACAGCATACTTTTATACTTCTAAAATTAATTCCATAGCCTCTTCCATGAATCAGACACTGAAACCAAGGATTCTATAGCTGCTATTTTATCCTCATGTACATGCTTTTATATCAGGTAACAGATAAAACATTTTATAAATTTATAAATTGTGGCCTACTGCAAAGTACAGCACTTCATTCTCCCAAGCTTCACATTCTGTATGAAATGCCAGTGCTTCACGAAGACCTCTTTGGAGGCCACGAGGAAGACCTATGTGAGGAAGACTGGAGGTGAACATGCTCTAAGTAGGCCATGTAAGCATGGCAGTTGGTAGACTTTAGAGCCTGCTCCCAAACTACTGAAGGAGACTCTCCTTAGTCACTGAGAACTAAAGAGTATTTTGAAAATAATCCCTGAATGATGGATGCATATCCCCAGTTATAATGCTGGAAGGAAGAGTGAGGTGAAGAAACTAGCTGTTGCAAACCAACACATGCTTCTTAGTGAACTGGTGTGAAGGCTTTTAGTTGGTGTTATAAACTTAACTTTATAGGGAAGAGAACCAAACAATATCACTATAAATTGGGGTCTAATCTTTGTCTATAGTTTCATAAATATAAGTACATTGGAACATATTGTGCTCCTTATGGTTTTAGGCCTTGCCACATTTCTGAATCATCTATTTTATTCATATTCAGTTCTATACATCAAACTCACTTTACATAATAGGTAATATACTCTCTGACTGTGTTGTTGGATTGTAGTGTGCTTAGTTTTCTTTAGGGTTTTAATTTAACAGTGCTACGTATTTCTCCAACATTGGGCCTTATTAATATTTTTGCTAGTTTAATAGATATAATCAAAAGTTGTTTAAATTACTGGCAAGTCCATGTACTTTTGCACTGATGATAGATGTATTTCCTCACAAAGAAGCTGTATTCTTATTTGATCACTTAAATGGAGTTTTTAAAATTTTTAAATTGATTTTTAGAGAGAAAGGAAAGGAGAGGGAGAGAGAGAACAAAACATCAATCAGCTGCTTCCTGAACAATCTCTACCCAGGATTGAGCTTGCTACTCAGGCTTGTGCCCTGACCGGGAATCAAACCAGCAACCCTTTCAGTGCCCAGGACGATGCCCAACTAACTGAGCCAAGTCAGCCTGGACTTAAATGGAGATTTTATATTAATAAATTTAAATCATATAATCTAGATACTAAATTTAGTTACATTTTTGTATTTTCTCATTGTTTTATTCCTTTTTGTATTTCACTAAGTAAATGCTTAATCTATTTAATACATTTTTCCTGATGCTTATAAAAAGTTACTAAACAGAAAATCTGAAAAAGAAAAAAGGCTAATCATACAGCTGCCCTATATATTTTCCTACTAGCTTTTTTTTTTTAAAATGATTTTTTATTGATTTTTTGAGAGAGGAGGGAGAGGGAAAGAGATAAACATCAATGTGAGAGTAGAACATTGATTGGCTGCCTTCTGCAAGCCCACTACAGCCCAGGCATGTGGCCTGACTGGGAATCTAACCGTGACCTCCTGGTTCATCGGTCGATGCTCAACCACTGAGACATGCTGGCCGGTACTCTAGCTTTTTCTTACACGTTATTTGGCAGAGTTTAAAAAGTATATATACAATTTTCTTTTTTGTTACCAAGTTACTAATTTTTTCTCATATTGCTGGATTGTCTTCATAATCTGCTTTGTGGATGGATGCATAAATTTTACCAAATCAATACACTAAAATAATTATTCCCCATATATTTAGAATGTTTAGGTTGCTTTCAAATTTTTTTTTAAAGTTTTGATGAACATCTTTTAGGCATAAAACTGATTCCAAATAGTTTTCTTAGCACAGTCTCAGACCCCATGGTGACCTGGCTCCAAACAGCTCCACCCCAACCATATCTTTATGGCAATTGATACATATTGTGAAACGCTTTATAAAACATTTTCTTTTCCAATTTACATTTCCATGAGCAAGGTTTACTAGTAAGCATGTAACTTTTACCTCAAACACAATGTTTCCTCTTTAATTCTTATTTAGAGGTTAGAATTGGTTTAATTAGAAGGAAGGAACCTGTATTGTTAACTATTTTGCTGCTTTATCAGCTTAAATTAGCCTTGTCCCAAAAGTTTTAGGTTCACACTAATCTACTTGGGGAGAATGGTGTTAAAATAACTTCCTGACTAGTTATTGTAACAAATTTACAAATTTATAAATATGCATAGGTTGTAAGTTATTCAAACATTCTAACAATAAGAAAACAGCTAAATTAGATTTCTCTATAACACAGAGTTTCCAATGAAGAAAATATCAAAGTTTATGCCAAATACTAAATAGAGAATTTGAGAACCCCCAATACGAAGCATTTTACAAAAGAAAAAATATAGTTTACCTCGTTTTCCCAGTAGGATCCATGTAAGTTGTTTTTTCAAACTGGACCCATTTTCCTTCTGCAATTAACTAAAAGGAGATGAGACGACAGATGAATTGGGAAGCTTTCAAACTGAGTTTTTTATTTAGAAGAGTTTTCTTTTTACATTGTCTCTGTATGGCCTTCCCAATTATCACACTTCCCTTCCAATAATTCATGTGCATGTTTTCAGTTGAGTATATTAAACATTGTTTTCCTGAAGGGTGGTTCTATTTCTATTTGGAGTTTCAGAGGTAGTACTGAGAGGTGAAAAGAAATGAGTTGAAAACTCTTGGGGTTGGGGAGGGGAGGGAAGACCAGAAGGGAGCAAAAAGGAATGAGGGCTTCTTTGGGATGCTTCTCATATTCTGGCCTCTGATCTGGGTGCTGGTCACATAGGTGTATATGTTTAGTATGTGAACACATCAGTGGCATTTTACTTTCAATGACTATACAACAAGCATGTCAAACTCAAAGGCTAACATGGGCTGCAAAAAACCAAAAGCTTCAATTTTCACAGAAATGTAGATTTATTTCGATAGAGACAAGCTGAATACAAAGGGCTGAAATAAATGAGTAATTGTTAACATAAAATAATAGAACATTTTAATAAAAATTATTATTTTTTCTTGAACATTAACTTACCAGACAATGAATAACTGCACAAATTAATAAGTGTAACGCAAATAAACCTATTTTTCTTGTTCTCTGAAAGCGAAATATTTCCCGTTTCGCACACCAAACAAGTCAGTCCAATGACGTGGCAATCGGCTGCTAAAATATTCGCTGCTAGTATTAGCGGAGAGAAATGGTGCACCTGCTCGTAAGGTGTGTAAGGGAGATGAATGCAACATGATTACAGTAATCAGTCATTAGTGAACGTCGTAGTTTGTTATTAATAATTATGTATAACAGGATACTGTAAGGATTAAGTTACGAAATTTTTATTAAAATGTTTCTTACATACCGTTATATTGGCTGGGCTGCAAAAATATTTATTGTGGGCAGCGAGTTTGACATGCTTGCTATACAACAAAGTTGACTGTGGGGAAACCATGTCCAATGATTGGATTTCTAATAACGACGCACGGATTTCCCACCCAGTCTGAGTGGCACCCTCAGCATGGTTCTGCCTAGACGTTGAGTTTAGGTTCCCAGGACTAATTACCCATGGCACTTCACTGCACTAACAGGAAAGTGTCACTGCGTACATAAAGCCGTTTATAGGCTTCTGACTATGCTCTCTTTCACTTTTTTCTTTAATCCTCACCCAAGGATATGTTTGTTGATTTTAGAGAGAGGAAGGGGGAGAGATCCATTGATGTGAGAGAGAAACATCATTGGTTGCCTCCTTTATGCCTCCTGACCAGGAATAAAACCCACAACCTTTTTGGTGTACAGGACAACACTCAACCAACTGAGCGCCCGGAAGGCCCGTCTTTCACTTCTTACCAGAAACAACCTACCAATTACCAGAAGATCTAGTCACAAATAACATGGAGAAATTTTTATTTTATTTTTTAAACAGGAAAATAGTCAGATTTTTATTTTCACATGTTATTTGCAAATACACAATTACAATAATGTCACACATCGCTATATGATTTTCTTATGTATTTTACCTTTTTTTAAATAAAGTGTTCAGAAGGAGGGTTATAACAACATTTAATAGGATAGTTCTATAGAATAACAACTTATATTAAGTCCTTGTAAAAATCTGACCTCTTTAAAACACTTAACTGAAATATTCATTTTTTAGCTTTGCTAATCAAAATTGTTTTAAGAATTAAAACTAGGTTGTAACTAATGTCAGTATATAATAGTGACTACAAATTCACTTTTTCTTTATACAAATATATTTTATTATATTCACTTGACCAAACCCTTAAGCAGTGGTTCTCAACCTGTGGGTCGCGACCCCTTTGGCGGTCGAACGACCCTTTCACAGGGGTCACCTAAGACCATCCTGCATATCAGATATTTACATTACGATTCATAACAGTAGCAACATTACAGTTATGAAGTAGCAATGAAAATAATTTTATGGTTGGGTCACAACATGAGGAACTGTATTTAAAGGGCCAGGAGGTTGAGAACCACTGCTTAAGTGCCCTTTAAAGGTTTCAATATTTTGCTTCAAAAAGAAAAGAACTGTGTATGGTTCCAGACTATGTAAGAGAAATATAAAGTGTGTAAAGATAAAGACAAAGTGTTCTTTATCTTTCAGTATATTTAAAAAAACATAATTAGATGACCAATTATATTTTTTGAATTAATTTTACAGGGTGTCTTAAAATTAATAAATTTCCACTTTTACTTAAGTGTTTTGCATTGCCTTTGGGAAAAATAAAGAAATAAGGGAGATTTTAAATGTTTGTATTAATTTTAGAGAGAGAAAAGAAGAGGGAGGGAGAGGGGGAGAGAGAGAGGAAAAAAAACATTGGTTGCCTCAGGTACACACCTCGAACAGGGACTGAACCCGAAACCTGGGCATGTGCTCTGATTGGGAATGAACCAGTGACCTTTTGGTGCACAGGATGAAGCTCAACCAACTGAGCTACACCAGCCAGGACAAAAAAAATAAGGGCGATTTTTAAAGGTTCTCACAAAAATACCAGAGCTTTCAAGGATAGTACTATAGGGCAATGAATCAAACAATTTTAAGTTACTTTTTTTTAAAGCATGTTATGGAGGCCAAGAGGGCACAGGAGCTCCCACTGGGACTGGCCCATGCTTTGGTTTTGACTGGCATTCAATTTGGAGTTCATACCAGCTTAGAGTACTTGATTTAAAACTGGACTAATTCAGCACTCAGAGGCTTGCCAAACACGCACTATTTCTATTTCTAACCCCATACATACTTGAATACAGATATTAACAGCAAAGAGAAGGATGAAAGTTAAAAACCTAAAAGCACAAGGAGGATGGAACACCATAATGGAGTGGCAAGGCAGCTATCAAATGGAAAGAAAAGTCTTATATCTCCCACAAGGTAATCCTGTTCTGACAGCCAATTTAAGCACCCCAAAAACTATCTTCTGGTCTCAGAAATTTATCTTAACATAATAAAATTCAAATGAATTGTGTCCATTTTATGAATTTATAACTAGTCAGAACTATTTGTTTTAAAAGTCAACTCAAAGAAAAACAAAACAGTGAAAGACTTTGGGATGTTCAAAGTAAGGCCTTAAATTCTACTCATGCACTTAAACATACCTTTATCTTATGTTCCAATCAAAGCCAGCTTGCGTGTTAAGTTTTTGAAAGTCTCCTAATTATTACTAAGAAATAACAGAGTAAACTGAACTTGCCAAGTGTAAATCATAATTAGCACTCGATCTCCGTGGAGCTGTAGCTTCCTCAGTTTTCCTAGCTTTGTGACACAGAGTTCTCTCAGGGGCTTCTCAGAAATGAGGAAGGTCTGTCTGATACTCCTTAACTTTTCAGAATAATATAAAGGCTTGGAGCTGAAGTTATATGAAAACATTCTACCTAGAAACATCTTGACTTCTATTTTTCAGTTACCAAAGATACTTAAAATACCTTTACACTTTAAAAATACCAGTGTCCTTATTTTCTTTTTAAATATATTTTATTGATTTTTTACAGAGAGGAAGGGAGAGGGATAGAGAGTTAGAAACATTGATGAGAGAGAAACATCGATGAGAGAGAAACATTGATCAGCTGCCTCCTGCACACCTCCCACTGGGGATGTGCCCGAAACCAAGATACATGCCCTTGACCAGAATCGAACCTGGGACCTTTCAGTCTGCAGGCCGATGCTCTATCCACTGAGCCAAACTGGTTAGGGAAAGTGTCCTTATTTTCCTTTTAATTCTTCACCTGAGTAGTCAGTCTCTCTGAAGAGCATTATTTACATAATGTCCTTATAAATCCCTGCATCTTTGATGTTATTGTAAATTTAATACTTTTCATTATAGATTTTAAACAACTACTACTTGGAGTTGTGTATATAAATATGTAAAATAAGCAATACACACAGATACATATAATACATATATAATTCATGGTACATTTATATATATATATATATAATTATGATTTACACTTGGCAAGTTCAGTTTACTCTGTTATTTCTTAGTAATAATTAGGAGACTTTCCTAATTATATATCCTATCTAATAGAAGACAAAAAGGGTAATTAACTGTACCTCCGCTACGCTTCCCATTGGCTAATCAGCGAGATATGCAAATTAACTGCCAACAAAGATGGCAGCCGGCAGCCACGCAGCTGAAGCGAACATGAGGCTTGCTTGCTCCAGTGATGGAGGAAGCCAAGGTTCCCTGCCTGCTGCGGCCTGGCTCTAAGCCTGA